CATCTAAGGACTCGACCCCAAAGCTCTTCCGTTTGAGGTGAGTACCACAAGGAGTAGTGGGGTGGGGGACTGTTGGCTTTGTGAATGTCCCCTTGACCAGATCTGAAGTCTAAAGTTTAAAGAAGGAACTCAAGCCACTTTTAGATGATCCCTGTGGAGTGGCAGGAGAAACTGATGGGCTGCGTTAATGTCCATTCTAAGTGTCCTCTTCTTGGGAGGGAAGGAGCATGATCCCTAGAGCTACTATGGCAGTCTGGGAGCATGAACATCCCCCAGGCCACAACGTCCCAGCTGTGGATTTTAAATTCCCGGCTTAGGATCCACAGTGGGATAAAAACGCAGCCCACCGAGATAATATGAGGGATTCAGGAGAAATGATAATTAAAGGGATTTGGAAGTCCACAGCCCGACCTCAAAATCTTTTTAAGGCTTTTAATATACAGCAAGAAAAAAATGAGGGGCCCATGAAGTTTTTAGACAGATTGAGGGAACAGATGAGGAAATCTGCAGATTTAGACTCAGAAGAACCTCTGGGACAAAGCATGTAAATGCTACGGTTTTGTCACTAACAGCTGGCCAGACATTGCAAAAAAGTTGCAAAAATTAGAAAACTGGAAAACTCGATCTATGGAGGAGCTCCTAGGAGAGGCCCAAAAAGTGTATGTAAGGAGAGATGAAGAGAAGCAAAGACAGAAAGTGAGAATCTTTTGGCAGAGCTCGCCAAGGCAAATGATACCAGGGGCTAAATTTAGATAATTGTCTGGAGTAGATGAGAGAGGGAGGGCAAGGAATTCAGGAATACAGAAAGATAGATGGCAAGGTTCGTACGTTATAGAATAGAACCAAACCAAGTGTTTTGTCGTTGTAAAGACAAAAACAAAAGGGCCATGAGTTGGGGAGAGAAGGGACGCAGGGTAAACGCTACAAATGTGTAAAACCAAGCCATTTCAAGAGAGAGTGTCCTGAATTAAAGAAAGAGGAGGAAATCCTTCTGCTCATGCCTACCTTTGAAGAAGAATAGGGGCATCAGGGGTTCTGTCTTTTTGATTTTGAGTCTCATCAAGAGCCCTTGATAAATTTAGAGGTGGCACCCATATGTGAATCAATTACCTTTTTAATTGACTCAGGAGCTGCTCGCTCATCTGTTTGCTTTTCCCCAGCTGATTTAACTTGTTCCCCAGAAGAATTGCTAATCTCTGGGGTAAAGGGGAGGGATTTAAAGCAAAAGTTTTGGAAAATACAGAAGTGAAATAAGAAAATCATTCAACTTACATCCAATTTTTGTGAATTCCCGAAGCAGGAACTAATCTGCTAGGGAGAGATGTGATATGAAACCTCGGTATCATTTTACAGGTTGGCCCGACATGTTTTCTAACCTCTCCAAATCTGCTAACTACAGTAGATGAAAAGTTCATATATCCCGACGTCTGGGCAAAGGAAGGAAAATGGAGAAAGCTATGAATTTCCTGAATACACATTAAATATAAGACTCCAGGGGAAATAGAAGGAAGCAATACCCTATCTCTTTGGAAGGAAGAAGGGGGTTAAAAACCTGTAATAGAAAGTCTTGTTAAAGATGGGCTTCTTGAGGCCGGGCGCGGTGGCTCAAGCCTGTAATCCCAGCACTTTGGGAGGCCGAGGAGGGTGGATCACGAGGTCGAGAGATCGAGACCATCCTGGTCAACATGGTGAAACCCCGTCTCTACTAAAAATACAAAAAATTAGCTGGGCGTGGTGGCGCGTGCCTGTAATCCCAGCTACTCAGGAGGCTGAGGCAGGAGAATTGCCTGAACCCGGGAGGTGGAGGTTGCGGTGAGCCGAGATCGCGCCATTGCACTCCAGCCTGGGTAACAAGAGCGAAACTCCGTCTCAAAAAAAAAAAAAAAAAAAAAAAAAAATCATTTTAAACATAAACATATATCAAAATATTACATTTTAGAAAGATATATACAATTATTTTTCAATTAAAAATATAATATAAAATTCAGTTTTTCTTTTTCAATGAATCTTCGATTTCTTCACTTTAAACTCTTAGGTATTAAGCATACAAATGTTTAATGGCTTAGAATAGTACCTAACACATTGTATGTGCCAAATACTATTTCGTTCAAATTATCTTTTTTCACAGCATTCTTCAAATACAAGATGATTCTGTATATCTTGTTAAAATTTATTTTTCCTTCTTATCCAAATATTGATAAAAATAGAAGATAGGACGGGCGCGGTGGCTCAAGCCTGTAATCCCAGCACTTTGGGAGGCCAAGGCGGGTGGATCACGAGGTCGAGAGATCGAGACCATCCTGGTCAACATGGTGAAACCCCGTCTCTACTAAAAATACAAAAAATTAGCTGGGCATGGTGGCACATGCCTGTAATTCCAGCTACTCAGGAGGCTGAGGCAGGAGAATTGCCTGAACCCGGGAGGCGGAGGTTGCGGTGAGCCGAGATCGCGCCATTGCACTCCAGCCTGGGTAACAAGAGCGAAACTCCGTCTCAAAAAAAAAAAAAAAAAAGAAGATAGGGCATTTGCCCACTTCATACATTCCAAAATCAAAGCGCAGTTTTACTAATTATTTTTATATTCAGTAACTCATTTGTCTCACACAGTAAACACAAATATTATGTAACAGAACTATATTCATATTCTTCATCCTAAAAAGAGAAAATTTTGAGTTGAGTACAGGACGCATTCTATATTTTTATTTCAAATTACTCCATGTCAAGTGCCTAGAATATTTCATGACATACTATGAAATAAAAAATATTAATAGGGATGGATTACGATGGATTGCAAAAGTGAAGAGACATTCTATGATTTTATTATTTATATAAAATAAATATATTTATATCCCTGTAACAAAAAAATTAAATATTTTTAGATAGAATAGCTATTATAAACTGCTTAAGTTGTAAATTTTTTTTTTTTTTTTTGAGACGGAGTTTTGCTCTTGTTACCCAGGCTGGAGTGCAATGGCGCGATCTCGGCTCACCGCAACCTCCGCCTCCTGGGTTCAGACAATTCTCCTGCCTCAGCCTCCTCAGTAGGTGGGATTACAGGCACGTGCCACCACGCCCAGCTAGTTTTTTGTATTTTTAGTAGAGATGGAGTTTCACCATGTTGACCAGGATGGTCTCAATCTCTTGACCTCGTGATCCACCCGCCTCGGCCTCCCAAAGTGCTGGGATTACAGGCGTGAGCCACCGCGCCCAGCCAAGTTGTAAATTTAATGAACAGCCAGGTACAGTGGCTTACACCTGTAACCCAGAACTTGGGAGGCCAAGCTGGAAAGACTGCATAAAGCCAGGAGTTCAAGACCATTCTGGACAACATAGGGAGATCCCAACTTGACAAAAAATTTAGAAAAAAAATTATCTGGGCATGGTGGTGCATGCTTGTCCCAGCTATTCAGTTGGCTGAAGTGGGAGGATCACTTGAGTTTAAGAGGTTGAGGCTGCAGTGAGCCAAGAAGAAAAACCCCACACCAAAAGCTAATACACTTAACGGTGAATGACTGGCAGCTTTATCTGTAAGTTTGAAAACAGGACAAGAATTTCTACTTTTACCACTATTCACCATTGTACTGGAGGTATCAGCCAGAAAGTTATACTAGCTAAACCAATAAAATGCAACAGATTAGAAAAAAATAGTCTTTTATTGCCTTTATCTTGTATTTCTTTTTGAGACGGAGTTTCACTCTTGTTGCCCATGCTGAAGTGCAATGGCGTGATCTCAGCTCACTGCAACCTCTGCCTCCTGAGTTCAAGTGATTCTCCTACCTCAGCCTGAGTAGCAGGGATCACAGGCATGTGCCACCACACCTGGCTCATTTTGTGTGTGTGTATTTTTAGTAGAGATGAGGTTTCACAATATTGAACTCCTGACCTTGTGATGCGCCCACTTTGGCCTCCCAAAGTGTTGGGATTACAGGTGTGAGACACCTGGTCCTTTTTTTTTTCTCCTTTTTGTGGAAAACGGGGTCTCGCTATATTGCCCAGGCAGGTCTTGAACTCCTGGGCTCACGCTACCCTCCCACCTCTGCCTCCCTAAGAGCTGGGATTACAGGCGTGAGCCACAGCGCCCGGCCCCCCCAACCTTTTTTTTTTTTTTTTTTTTTGAGACAGTCTTGCTCTGTCACCCAGGCTGGAGTGCAGTGGCATGATCTCAGCTCACTGCAACCTCCACCTCCCAGGTTCAAGCGATTGTCTTACCTCAGCCTCCCAAGTAACTGGGATTACAGGCACATGCCACGACGCCCAGCTAATTTTTTTTGTATTTTTACCAGAGATGGGGTTTCATCATGTTGGTCAGGCTGCTCTCGAACTCCTGACTTCATGATCTGCCTGCGTTGGCCTCCCAAAGTGCTGGAATTACAGGAATGAAATGTTGTATTTTAAAGGTGTTAGAAATTCATTAAAAACCTATTTGAGGCCAGGTGTGGTGGCTCACACCTGTAATCTCAGCACTAAGGGTAGCCGAGGCGGGTGGAGCACGAGGTCAGGAGTTCAAGACCAGTCTGGCCAACACAGTGAAACCCTATCTCTACTAAAGATACAAAAAATTAGCTGAATGTGGTGGGATCTGCCTGTAATCCCAGCTACTTGGGAAGCTGAGTGTGAACCCAGAAGGCAGACATTACAGTGAGCCAAGATTGCACCATTGCACTCCAACCTGAGTCAAAGTGTGAGACTCCATCTCAAAAAAACAAAACAAAACAAAACAAAACAAACAAAAAACCTACTTGAGCTAATAAAGAAGTTCACCAATGCCACAAGATCAATATACAAGGTTGGATAATACTTTTATATTATAGCAATAAGCAAAAGAATTACATTAAAATTTCACTAATAGTATCGAAAACAATTATAAATTTAACAAAACAAATGCACATACTATACTGAAAATTTTAAAATGCTGAAAAAAAAGCTGAATAAACTGAGATAATATCCAATATTCAAAGATATTAATACTGAATATGAAGATGAAAATACCCAACAAATTTATCTACAGATTCAACGCGAATTCCAACATAGCTTTTCTTTAATATAAATTGACAAGCTCTTCCTAAAATCTATATAAACATGCAAAGTAAATCAAACTCACAAGAATTCTGAAAAATGATAACAAAATTCAGTAGCTTACACTCGATAAAAATGCTTACTATGATGTTAAAATAATTAAACAATATGGTACTGGCATAAGGGCAGATTTGTGGAGACAAAAAAAAAGAATTAAAGGTCCATTAATGAACAAATTAACTTGTGGCAAAATTATTTTTTTCCGTGAAAGGTGTTTTGACAGTCATTACATTTATACTGCTTTAGTTCAATATGAACTCTGATCCTGAGTAAGACATGAGCAGGTATTAAAGGCTTTGTCACATTTTTTATGTTTGTAGGATTTTTCTCAGGTATGAATTTTCTCATGTACATTAAGGTGTGAGCAGTGGTTAAAGATTTTGTCACATTCTTCAGATTTGTAGCATTTCTCTTTTGTATGAATTCTCTTATGGTTTGAAAGGCTTGAACAAGATATAAAGACTTTACCACATTCTTCACATTTATAGGGCTTCTCTCCAGTATGAATTCTTTTATGTTCAATAAGGTGTGAGCACCGGTTAAAAGCTTTGCCACATTCTTCACATTTGTAGGGTTTCTCTCCAGTATGAATCCGCTTATGTTTAGTGAGGTTTGAACACTGGTTAAAGGCTTTGCCACATTCATCACATTTGTAGGGTTTCTCTCCAGTATGAATTCTCTTATGTAGAGTTAGGTATGAGAACCAGTTAAAAGCTTTGCCACATTCTTCACATTTATGGGGTTTGTCTCCAGTGTGAATTTTCTTATGTTTGGCATGGTTTGAACTGTGGTTAAAAGCTTTACCACATTCTTCACATTTATAGAGTTTCTGTCCAGTATGAATTACAATGTGATTAGAAAGGCTTGAGAAGGATTTAAAGGCTTTGCCACATTCTTTACATTTGTAATGTTTCTCTTCATTCTGAGCTGTCTTATGTTCAATGAAGCATGAGCAGTGCTTAAAGGCTTTGCCACATTCTTTACACTTGTAGAATTTCTCTGCAGTGCGGATTCTCTGAAGTGGAGTTAGAATTGAGGATATGTAAAAGGAATTGTCACATTCTTTATAGTTGGAAGATATCTCTCCAGTATGTCTTATCTTACGTCTATTTAGATTTGACAATTTACTAAAGACTTTCACATGTTTACTACACTGAAAGATTTTGGCATAGGTAGTTGATAAAGACTGGTTAAGTCCACTATAACATTCTTTCTGCAGCTTAGATTCACTCACACTTTCCCAATCTTCCTGTAAGTGTAAATTCTCAAAGCCAAAGCTTCCGTATTTTCTCAGTATCACTTTTTGAAATGAATCTTTTATGCCTTGCTCTGGCAAGAGGTCTTGGGTGAAATGAGAAGAAATAGCTGAAAAAAGTAAACATAAATTATCCAACTTACTAGACTTAAGTGAATATAATTTAAAAATAATACAATTTAAATTATATAATTTTAAAATATTATATAAAATTTAAAAAATTTAATTTTTAATTAATTTAAATTTAAAAATTATATAATTTAAAAATCTATACAATTATACCAGACACATTAGCAAGACAGCATTATAAAGACAGCCCTAACTTTTTCCTGAATATAATATAACAAAACCATACTGAACAGAATGCCTTTGTGAGAACTCTAGAAACCACGTTAAAAGCTATAGAGAAGGGGAAGGCATGCTTGTTATGTTTATACACCACAATTCTTTCTTCCCCTCAACACACCATAATGACTTCAGGAATAAACTCCCAGCTCCTAGCTTCTCCTTCAAGACAGAAAGTAGCGGCACATATGTCTGTACTTTTGATGGAATTTTCAAAGACTAGCTTCTGTCTCCCGTGACACAGGGTGCTGAAATGAACAGTGGTAGAACAGAAGCAACCTTAGAATGACAGGCTGGTTCTGCTGAGACCAAAGGTAAATAATTGTTATAGCAGCAAAGAGGCTGCAGTACCACAGACAGACAACAGATTTGGCAGATAACTGATTACAGAAGAAGAAACATGGGTAAACCTCTTTAACTGGAAATTAAGCATAAAATTCCAGAGAACATACATCCTGTGAACAGGTTTGAGAGGGTCATGGAAATCCTAGCTCCGGTCAATTGGTGTCAGACTACCCAGGACAAGGCCATTTTATAAAGATTGGGACAGGTGACTTTTAGTGCCCAAATCTCAACCAAAGATCGCAACATATACATTAGGGTTACATGGCTCAATCAAAAAAATAAGTAAATAAATAAATATCCAGAAATCAACCTTAAAGAAATGAAGATGTGTAAGTTACCTGAAAAATCTGAGATAACCATCTGAATAATGCCCAATGAGTAAAATGGGAACACAGACATTGAAATTAAGAAAATGACATTACCCACATGAAGATTAAAAGTATAAAAAGAAATTGAAATTTTGGAGCTGAAGAATACCAAAAAAAAATAACTGACAAATTCTCAAATTTTTAAAAAAAAAAATTAAGAAGCTTAACACATTTCAAATAGAATAAACACTAAGAGACCCATAACAAGACTCATTATAGGCAGTTTCAAAAAATTACAGATGAGAAGAGAATCTTGAAAACAGAAATGGAAATGCAGTGTGTCGTCTGTAAGCATGCTTCTATGAGACTGCCAGAGCAAAGCTGTTTTATAAACCACCATTCTAGTATTACAGAATTTTATTTTTGTGTATGTGATCACAGGGCATACAGAGAAAACAGGAAACCTGCCTTACTTGAAGAAACAAATCTCCAGAAACCAACCCTCGAGAAAGGGAGATTTTTGCATTTTTTGGACAAAGAATTTAAAGTAATCACCTTAAACATGTTCAATGACCAAAAGCAGAACACATTTAATTAACTACACAAAATCAGGTTGGGCATGCTGACAAGAGCAATATGGTTTACATAAAGTAAAATATTCAGGTTTTTGTTCATTTAAAAATAAATTCTGGCTATGCAAAGAGGCTCACACCTGAAATTCCAGCATTTTGGGAGGCTGAGGTGAGAGAATTGTTTGAGACCAAGAGTTCAAGACCAGCTTAAGTAACACAGTTAGACTGTCTATAATTTTTTTTAAAATTAGCCAGATACGGTGGTATGTGCCTATAGTCCCAGCTACGTAGAAGGCTGTTGAGGTGGAAGGATCACTTGAGCTCAGGAGTTTGAGGCTACAGTGAGTTATGATCATACCACTGCACTCCACCAGCCTGGATGACAGAGTAAGACCTTGTTTAAAAAAAAAAAAAGGCCGGGCGTGGTGGCTCAAGCCTGTAATCCCAGCACTTTGGGAGGCCGAGGCGGGTGGATCACGAGGTTAAGAGATCGAGACCATCCTGGTCAACACAGTGAAGCCCCATCTCTACTAAAAATACAAAAAACTAGCTGGGCATGGTGGCTCGTGCCTGTAATCCCAGCTACTCAGGAGGCTGAGGCAGGAGAATTGCCTGAACCCAGGAGGCGGAGGTTGCGGTGAGCCGAGATCGCGCCATTGCACTCCAGCCTGGGTAACAAGAGCAAGACTCCGTCTCAAAAAAAAAAAAAGAAAAGAAAGAAAAACCATGCATGAGGAAAATAGTACATCAACAAGGAGATTTTTTTTTTGAAACTATAAAAAAGAACCCAACTAAAATCGTTGAGCTGGAGAACACAACTGTGTTGAAAAATTTACTAAAGAGTTATAACAGCAGACTTAATGAGGCAGAAAAAACATCAGCAAATTGAAGATCTATCGTTTATAAATATTGAGTTGTGGAAGCAAAATTGTAAAAATGGAAAAAAATGAAGATGGAATACAGGACTTAATGGACATCGTTCAGTAGACCAATATATTCATAAAAAGAGACTTAGAAGACATAGGTAAAAAGTGGCAAGTTTTTTCTTTTTTTTAAAAGGGAGGGGCTGAGAACTTCTAAAATGTGAGATAAAACCAAAAATATTAGTAAGAATACTTTTAAAAAAATTTACCTTCAAAAATAAGTGAAAAATAGACTTCCCAGAGAAACAAAAGCTGAGAATATTTGTTGCTACTAATACAGTCCTAAAGGAAATTATAAAAGCAGTCTATTGTGTTGAAAAATAAAATGACGCTGGATGACATCATAAAACCACATGAAAATATAAAGCTGTTAAAGGTAAATATATATATACACATATATATATATGTGTATATATATATATACACACAGATACGGAATACAACAATTTCAGTACATAAAACTGAAAACCAGCCGGGCGCGGTGGCTCAAGCCTGTAATCCCAGCACTTTGGGAGGCCGAGGAGGGTGGATCACGAGGTCGAGAGATCGAGACCATCCTGGTCAACATGGTGAAACCCCGTCTCTACTAAAACTGCAAAAAATTAGCTGGGCATGGTGGCACGTGCCTGTAATCCCAGCTACTCAGGAGGCTGAGGCAGGAGAATTGCCTGACCCCAGGAGGCGGAGGTTGCGGTGAGCCGAGATCGCGCCATTGCACTCCAGCCTGGGTAACAAGAGCGAAACTCCGTCTCAAAAAAAAAAAACAAAACAAAAAACAAAAAAAAAAAACTGAAAACCCTGTAGAATGTGAAAAACAACATAAATCTCCAATAATCTATTAATAAATGCACAATATAAAATATCATTTTTGACATTAATATTAAATTGGGGAATATAAAGATAGTTTTTGTAGTCTCCTATAGGGACGTTATGAGATAGATGGAAATGAGGGATAACATATCTACAAGGAACAGAAAACAATTAAAAACAAGATGGTAACAGTACTGCCATTTCCTTTAGGAATTGTTTTAAATATAAATGGATTATATTTCTTAATGAAAAGAAAATAGATTAAGAACAAACAAGATTCTAGAATATGCTGTGTACAAGACACTCAACTGCAGGTTTAAAAGAGTCAAATACGTTAAAAGTAAAGCATGAAGAAAAATATTCTATGAAAACAATAACCACAATTGGGTGGTATGGCCACAATTATATTATAGAAGATACATTTTTAATGAAAAACTGTCACAAAAGGCAAAGATTGATATAATGGTAAAATAGGCCCATTTACCAAAAATCTTTAGCAGTTTTATATACACAGACACTCCACACACAAACATACATATATATGTCTTATGTGTATATATATGCGTGTCTGTGTGTGTATAAAGCAACATTTGCTTCCACATATATGAAGCAAATATTGACAGAAATGAAATAAGAAATACACAGCAACACAACATTATAGACTTCAAGATTCCACTTTCAATAATGAATAGAAAAATCCCATAGAAGATCAATAAGAGAACAGAAAATTTAAGTATTATAGACAAATTAGACCTAACAGACATGTTCAGAATTCCCCAGGAAAAGCAGCAGAATATTTTTACAATACTCTCAATTGCATATTCATTCTGTTAAGATACAAAACTTATCAAATTTAAGAAGACTGAAATCACACAATGTATTTTTTTCTAACCAAATCCAAAATATATAAAAATTAAACACACTCTTGAAGGTATTCTTGCTCAAGGTTCAGATGATTTTTTTTTTGTTAAGGTATCATTCAATACCAACAGTGATACACAAATTCATCATATTTCTATCAAAAACCCAATGGTGCCGGGCGCGGTGGCTCAAGCCTGTGATCCCAGCACTTTGGGAGGCTGAGGCGGGTGGATCACAAGGTCAAGAGATCGAAACCATCCTGTCAACATGGTGAAACCCCGTCTCTACTAAAAATACAAAAAGTTAGCTGGGCATGGTGGCGTGTGCCTGTAATCCCAGCTACTCAGGAGGCTGAGGCAGGAGAATTGCCTGAACCCAGGAAGCGGAGGTTGCGGTGAGCCGAGATCGCGCCATTGCACTCCAGCCTGGGTAACAGGAGCGAAACTCTCTCTCAATAAATAAATAAATAAATAAATAAATAAATAAATAAATAAATGAAAAGAAGAGGCTTTACACTTCCTGTTTCAAATATATTATACAAAGCTCTAAAAATAATGTAGCACTGATACAAAGACAAATATTAATAAATAGATAATGAAACAGAAGCAAGAACCCAGATATAAATTCTTTTGTATAGAATCAAATGACCTTCCACAAGGTCGCTATGACCACACAATAGGGAAAGCACAATCTCTTCAACAAATCACGTTGAAAACTGAGTAACTACATGAAAAAAATTAATTTGGCCCTTCCTTTGCATCATATGGAAACAATATATTGAAAGGATTCAATACTTAAACAAAACTAATAAAACTCTCAGGAGAAAATATAGAGGAAAAGATCATCAAATTGCTCTTTACACTGTTTTCTTGGATATGAAGGCAAATGCATAAGCAACAAAGAACAAAAAACTGAACTACACCAAGCTTCAGCATTTCTGAACATTAAAGGAAACATTTAGTGAAGTGCAAATGCCACCTTAGAAATGGGTGAAAATATTTGCCTATTAGATACTTGATAGGAGTTAATATACAGAATACAACCCTCCTAAAACTCAGTAAAAAGAATAATAAATTGCCGGGCGCGGTGGCTCAAGCCTGTAATCCCAGCACTTTGGGAGGCCGAGGCGGGTGGATCACGAGGTCGAGAGATCGAGACCATCCTGGTCAACATGGTGAAACCCCGTCTCTACCAAAAATACAAAAAATTAGCTGGGCATGGTTGTGCATGCCTGTAATCCCAGATACTCAGGAGGCTGAGGCAGGAGAATTGCCTGACCCCAGGAGGCGGAGGTTGCGGTGAGCCGAGATCGCGCCATTGCACTCCAGCCTGGGTAACAAGAGTGAAACTCTGTCTCAAAAAAAAAAAAAAAAAAATCTGGAAAAATAAAACTACCATATACATTAAAAAAAAAAAAAAAAAAAAATACCATATAATCAATCCCACTTCTATGTAAAAAACCAGAGGAAATAATTATATCAAAAAAAATCTGTACCCTCATGTTCACTGCAGCATTCTTCACAATTGCCCAGATATGAAAACCTAAATGTCTACAGACACTAAAAAGTACACACACACACACACACACACACACACACACACACACGAATATTATTCAGCCATTAAAAATAATAAAATCCTACCATTTCGACAACATAGATGAACATGGGGGAAATTATTCTAAGTGAAATAAGCCAGGCACAGAAAGAAAAATACTGCATAATCTCTTTTATAAGGGGAATCAGAAAGGGTTGAATTCATAGAAGCAGAGAGTACAAAGACGGCTGCCAGAGGCTGGAGGTAGGAAAACAGGGGAATGTTGTTCAGAGTACAAAGTTTCCATTACAGGATACATTCTGGGGGTCTAGTGTATAGCATTGTCACTGTAGTTCATAATGCATTCTGTATGCTTAAAATTTGCTAAGATAGTTGTATCAAATCATCCCATTGTACGCAGCACTTACACACTTTTTATTGGAGAAAAAATCCATGTTACACACAGGTACATATATACACAAATGTATACACACTGAAAAATATGTAACAGCTCCAGTAAATTTCATAGTAAACAAGAGAAAATTATAAAATGACAGTTATTATAAACTAAGGTAGCAAGTGAAAGTTAAATACATGCTTAGCACTGCTTCAAGCTACCCGAATACATAGCATACTTAAGGAATCTAGGAAGCTGATATAATTTGGCTGTGCCCAACCCAAATCTCAACTTGAACTGTGTCTCCCAGAATTCCCACGTGCTGTGGGAGGGACCCAGGGGAAGTAACTGAATCACGGGGGCCGGTCTTCCGGGTGATGTTCTCATGATAGTGAATTAGTCTCATGAGATCTGATGGCTTTCTCAGGGGTTTCCGCTTTTGCTTCTTCCCCACTTTTTCCTGCTGCTTGCATGTAGGAAGTGCTTTTCGCCTCCCACCATGATTCTGAGGCCTCCCCAGCCATGTGGAACTAGTTAGTCCAATTAAACCTCTTTTTGTTCCCAGTCTCAGGTATGTCTTCGTCAGCAGTGTGAAAAAGGACTAATACAAAGTGAACAGATACACTAAACTACACTACAGTTGAGAATTTTGGGCAGTATAAAATACCAATCCCGGTTTATATAAAACAATAAATGTTTAATTAAAAAGTAACAGTTTCTTGTATTTAGAGAGATGTCTAGTGTTCTCATAAAATCACTGAGTATACATTTCTATAGAATGACATTTAAAACCTCTATAGAATGGGAAATCACAAAGTAGAAAATATGTAATAGCTGTTCTGGTGTTCCTAGGATTCTAAGCCAAATTCCACTACTCTCACACATCTTAGACATAGCACGAAAAGGGAACTTAAAAAAATAGGTTAACAAAGAGCTTCTAAAAAATACAGATATTCCTGTGTCGCCAAAGCAATGGAAGAACAAGCAGATCACACGGTCTGCTACAAGCTGTGAGGAGGGCTTTGGTTCTCACTGAAATCTTTTTTTTTTTTTTTTTTTTTTTTTTTTGAGGAGGAGGAGTTTCGCTCTCGTTACCCAGGCTGGAGTGCAATGGCACGATCTCGGCTCACCGCAACCTCCGCCTCCTGAGTTCAGGCAATTCTTCTGCCTCAGCCTCCGGAGTAGCTGGGATTACAGGCACGCGCCACCATGCCCAGCTAATTTTTGTATTTTCAGTATAGACGGGGTTTCACCATGTTGACCAGGATGGTCTCGATCTCTTGACCTCGTGATCCACCCGCCTCGGCCTCCCAAAGTGCTGGGATTACAGGCTTGAGCCACCGCGCCCGGCCTCACTGAAATCTTGAAGAAAGATCACTGAAGGGAAGCAGAGCCCTGGAAGAATTTAAGAGCGTGGGACAGAGGCATTCCTACGTGAGAGCAAGGGAAAGAAACTCAGGCTTCCAGAAGCCATTTCCATTGGCGCAGAGCCTCCAAACCCACATTTTAAGGTCTGGCTTCCTCCCTGATCTCTGAACCTCTCATCTGTGGCATCCATTTAACTTACTCCCACTTACCTGGTTGTTTGCCTACTGTCTCACGTTTCTTCACACTCCACGGCTCATTCCTTTGCTCTAGACAGGTGATCAGGTCTGGCTTAGAGATAGCAATACCTGTTTTATTTAAAAAAAAAAAAAAAAAAAAAAAGGACGTGTTTTATTTTTTTTAAAGTAGCATGACTCTTGCTTGAATTCTCCAATTACCAACCTAGTACTGTGTTCACTAGAGAAACAAGGATGTAACGGAAGATTCTAGAAAATAAATCCCAAAATACTGTTTCCTGATAGAACCTTTAGAATATTTAGAAAGTATTTTAGGCCGGGCGTGGTGGCTCACACCTGTAATCCCAGCACTTTGGGAGGCCGAGGCGGGTGGATCACGAGGTCAAGAGATCGAGACCATCCTGGTCAACATGGTGAAACCCCGTTTCTACTAAAAATACAAAACATTAGCTGGGCATGGTGGCCCGTGCTTGTAATCCCAGCTACTCAGGAGGCTGAGGCAGGAGAATCGCCTGAACCCAGGAGGCGGAGGTTGCAGTGAGCCGAGATCGCGCCATTGCACTCCAGCCTGGGTAACAAGAGCGAAACTCCGTCTCAAAAAAAAAGAAAGTATTTTAAATTTATGAGTCCCTAGCTTTACTACCTAATAGTACTGAATCAAAAACTGGTGATGGCAACTAGGTTTTAGGGTGTGGGCAACACTATTTTATGCCACTAAATTTCTGGAATTACCACTAATCTAGAGTATGTGCATCACTTCAACAAAGTAAGGTTAATGTCAAGATAAAATACCTCGAAGATTATTTTTTTCTATACCAACAAATCCCCAAGTTTTCCTTGAAAGCAGAAATCTGAAACTGATTCATGCAAAGCAGAAATTCCCCAAAATATTCTATAATGAAGGAAATAAAATCCTTTGTGTAAAACAGAAATAATGCAATGATGTCATCCTCACCCAGGGAGACCAGGTTTCTGTAGTTTTCTAACATCACATCCCTATACAGATTCTGCTGAGCAGGGTTCAGATAGCTCCACTCTTCAGGAGAGAATTCTATGGCCACATCCCTGAATATCAACAGTCCCTGGAAAAAAAGAAAACACATACTTATCAAGTGTCCATGGGTAGAGTTTTTAATTTGATTTCAGGCACAAAGAGAGACAGAAAGAATTGGTTCTTACTTATAGAAGAGACTGAAATGATCAAATAATTGTAAACACAGAAACGTTCTCTAATGTATTCTGTAACTCTTAAGAGGCTGGCATTAAGACGCACAGAACCAGTATCGATGATATACTTTTGTGAATAACACAGGAGAAAATTAAGGGCATCAACACAGGCATATATATTTTTTTCCTGCTATATTTATATCACACAGGATAAGTTGTAAATATTTCTCATATGTAGAAATCATGATTCATCAGAAGGTACCCCTCGAATTTTAATGTGTACACAATAAACTAGAGATCTTCTGAAAATGCCGGTTCTGATTCAGAAGACCTAGGGTGAAGCCTGAGTTTCCCAATTTCTAGTAAGCTATACAGTGATACCAATGTCTGGCCAAAGGAAAATATTTTTTCAAACATACAGGAAGTGGCAGAGCCTGTGTTTATTTCAGTTTCAGTTTATCTAACCAGTAAACAAGCTTGAGAGCCTTCATTTTCCAAAGCAAGCTATAAACAAGGAGAATCTAAAAAGAAAGAAGAGCTTCCTAATTAAATGTGATTGATGGCTTATACACATCAGTCAGTAATCTCCCCAAGGTACTAAATAAGGAGAAAAGTAACTCTACACTGGAAAAATCTGATCAACTATAATAGGATAAATTAATATCAAGGATCACACATGGGGACACAAAATCACCGCTCTAATATTATTGGCCACAAAAATAGTAAATTACAATCTGAATCTAATAACGTAGCAACATCTGCTTTTTTTCTTTTGCTTTCTGAGACAGAGCCTTGCTCTGTTGCCCTGGCTGGAGTGCAATGGTGCAATCTCCACTCACTGCAACCTCTGCCTCCTCGGTTCAAGTGATTCTCCCACCTCAGTCTCCCAAGTAGCTGGGATTACAGGTGTGTGCCACCATGCCCAGCTAATTTTTGCATTTTTGGTAGCAACGGGGTTTCACCATGTTAGGAAGGCTGGTCTTGAACTCCTGACCTCAAGTGATCTGCCCACCTCAGCTTCCCAAAGTGCTGGGATTACAGGTGTGAGCCCTAGCGCCTGGCCAGAAACATCAGTTTTATGCAAAGTTCAAGCGATAGATATTTCTCAGGTACTATCATCTCTAACAGTGCATTTCAAAAGTGTTTCTTTAGTATCCTTAACAGGAGTGTCTTCTAATTATTCTCTTTTCGGAACTTTAAGTTATTTTAGGCAATTAATGCCATCCTCTTTAAACGTCCCTTTTCTTAATTCTGTTCTGCACAGAGCTGATGGAGCATGTGGATGAAATCTAAACAGCACAGTCCCCTTCTTCACTGGCACCCGAAAACCCAACCCCATCCCCAGTGGGAATCTTGGGCATCCGCACTTTCCCATGTTGATCTGTCACAGAACATTTTTAATACTGCTCATCATACATTGATGGTGAGATTTGGTCATGACATATAAGAAGCCTGGATGGAGAGAATATTCTGGAGGAATACACAGGAGGAAGGATTTTACAAAGCTCCTTGATTAACAATCTTAAGGAAAAAAAAGTGGGGGAAAGTGGTTGGAAAAAACGTATTAGGCAGGCACATCAGAGTACAGAAATAAAGGTCTGCAAGTTCTCAACACATGGCATTCCAAAGAAAGAGAGGACACATCCCCTGCACCCAGACACATTCACCTGAGAACCAGCCATTTCTTCCTCCTCTTCCTTCTTCTCTGGGATTCCTTCTCAGGTGAGATTATCTGGACAAATCACACCCGTATCTGAGAATATGCCTTTAAAGGTGTCAGCACAACCTTTTCCCCTGCAACCAGCACACCTATAGGCAGAAGGCCCTGAAGCACAGAAGAGGGCACGTTCCCTTATTCTTTGTCACAGGAGGGAGAAAAAATGAGCTCCCACACAAAGACCAAAAATCCCCTGCCTTCAGGTGATCTCCCCTGCCATGAACTCCCACAGTTAAGGAAACATGGACCTTGGTGACCGACCCCCACCAAACCCAAGTAGAACAGGCCCTCTGACCTCCTTTTGGAACTGAAGTCCCGTGACGGTATCTGGGAGCCCTCAAGCTTGACTCTGATCTCACCTTAGAATCATTGTGGGCGGGGAGGCACTTACTTAAAACAACAATGATGCCTCCATCTAGACCACAGACAGGATCTTTGGAGAGGGCATGCATGACGGTAGCTCTCTAAACTGGCCATGTGATTCTAACTGGAAGCCTGGGCTGAGAACTACACAGCTGAGCACTGTCTCTCAGGCTTCAATGTACATAGAAATAATTTGGTATTCTAATTTGATATTCCAGGCCCCACTCTAAGTAATGTTTCTGCAGCTGTGAAAAGGGTCTGTAAATTGGCTTCTTTATCAAGTCCTCCGATACTGTTCCTCTTGGACTCCTTATCAGCAGCACTCGGCTAGAGAAGGCAAGCACAGCAGAGTTCCTTCCCAACACTGGTATTACAACACAAATGCTTCCGACTGCAAGTGAGGACCACCAACTGCCATCTTGAAAAATGGCATTCTCTGCTGAACCTTTAACGTTTACTATAGTCTAGGGAAGGCAGCAATGTCTGAGCAAGTCTGCACTGGGAAAAAAACATGGATACGTGCATTAACGCAATGTTTATGGAACACCTACTACATGCTCAGAAGTATGTTACAGAGGACAGTGCTGAAAACCTAATAAGAAGTGAGGTCATTCCTCTAACACCCAGGGAGGTGGGTACTGAGTGTTCCGTAATCCCCAGGATTTACATGAAGGGCCCAGCTTTTCTTTTCCTGTTTCTCTATCACTGATTTTTAGGGAAAAAAAATGTATAGAGTCATTTTTTTTTCTAGAGACAGAATCTGCTCTGCCAACCAGGCTGGACTGCAGTGGTGTGATCTTGGCTCACTGCAACCTCTGCCTCTGGGTTCAAGTGATTCTCCTGCCTCAGTCTCCAGATTAGCTGGGATTACAGGCACCTGACACCATGCCCAGCTAATTTTTTTGTATTTTTAGTAGAGATGGGGTTTCACTGTGTTGGCCAGGCTGGTCTTGAACTCCTGACCTTGTGATCCACCTGCCTCGGCCTCCCAAAGGGCTGGGATTACAAGGGTAAGCGGCCATGCCCGCCAGAGCAGCAGATTCTTAACCCAGAGGTGTCACTTGTCCCTAATTGGCTAAATCTTGAGTCACGAAAAAGACAACAGTGCTTCCATACCGACTTTACAGATGGGTGCGGCTGTGGCCATGGCTCTGCATATTTTGTGGCCCTGACCTTCCGCTGCTGGGGTTCTTGTTTACATTTACAGATTCTGTCACCAGGCTCTTGTTATACCAGGAGCTTCTCACACAACTGTAACAGGTCCCTGGATTTGGAAAACTCAAAGGGTGCCACTCTGAAAATGGGGCTTTAAGATGTCTATGTTGGCTAGGCACAGTAGCTCATGCCTGTAATCCCAGCACTTGGGAGGCCGAGGCGAGAACAGCACGAAGCCAGGAGTTCCAGACCATCCAGGGCAACGTAAGTGAGAGCTCATCTCTACACAAAATAAATTTTAAAAATTTGCCAAGAGGTGGGGGTTGAGCTCAGGAGTTTGAGGCTGCAGTAAGCCATGAATGTGCCATTGCACTCTGGCCTGAATGAAAAGTGTGAAACTGTATCTCAACAAATAAAGTTAATAAAAGCTTTAAAAAAGGGGAGAAGAGCAAAATTTATTCTCTTATTTTCTGTTGGGGAATTAAACCTCTTATTTCTAGCTCCTTTCAGTAGAAAGAGCTCCTTTCATACTTGGGGTGTACAGACACCTGCAGGGAGAGGCTCCCCGAGAAGAACTAACTGGGCTTCAATGACTTACCACAGCCAAGTTCAAATATCCATGGTCTTGGAACTCATGGATACCTGAATTTCAGTAGGTCTGGATTCAAGTACTTGAGGGGGAGTCCTGGACAAATTGTGCATATCAAAGAGGGTTAGTGGAAAAGAAAAAGCAGAGAAGTGCTATCATGTACCCATGTTAAGTACTCAGTACAGACTTAGTAAAGAAGCGGTTTGTGCTACAGATACTGGCCCAAGTGGGGTATGCTCCAGCTCATTCTTGTATCCATGGAGGCAGAAGAGATTACAGCCATATCGTCTAAAAGCCGGGTGGGGGCAGGGTGGAGGGATCAGGCTGCTGGGGGTGGGGATAGCCCAGGAGTCTTCTAGGTACCCATGTGGGTTTTTCATGGAAAGCTCTCGAAGCAAAGGTGTTGTGATGGGACTCCTGAGGGTGAAGCCTGGTCCTGGAAGGGACATGGCCATGTCAGTGCCTAGTGGGTATGTTTACAAGTAGGTGAAAATCATGTAGTGGCAGCAGAGTGGAGAGAGGGTTGTGTCCGCAGAAGTCTTTGCTTCTAAGTCCTCAGTCCTCTCTGACCCTGAAAGAACTGGAATCAGAGGAGAATGTGCAATGTTCGTGCATGAGAACAGAACTTCCCATTCCTGAGACACCCTGAGATGGCCTCCAGCCCAGGCCACTGTGACGTCTTTGTTCTGACAACAAATGTGTGGAGTTGCTGGACACCAACGGAGTGTCCAACAACTCAATTCCGACACCACCCAAAGTCAGCACAGACCCCACAGGTTCAGGACTCAGTCCCACAACACTGCCGCCGCTGCAGAGGCCAGTCACGTCCCCTGGGCCCACCAATACTTCTGGGCTACTGCCTATATATCAGAAACTCCCAGAGCCAGGCGCGGTGGCTCACACCTATAATGCTAGCACTTTGGAAGGCCACGGTGGGCAGATCACCTGAGGTCAGGAGTTTGAGACCAGTCTGGCTAACATGGAGAAACCCAGTCTCTTAAAAAATAAAAAAATAAAAAAAAAGAAAGAAACTCCCATCACCCTCTCCTCAAGTTCAATAATTTGATAGAGCTATTCACAGAACTCAGGAAAACACTGTACTTATGCTTACCAGTTTATTATAAAAGATACAACTCCAGAACAGTCAAACGGAAGAGCTGAATATGGCAAGGGAAATTGGCGGGGAAAGATGGTGGGTAAACAGCTGTGATGACTGAAATCCTTCAGCTCTGTGTTCTCCAAGAACAGCTTAATAAAAAGCAACAGCTCTCTCATTATAACTTAGATGACGCTCCCTCCTATACCTATCACAAAGCCAGGCACAGATAATTCCCCTTTTTTTCCTATAACCAGTCAGCTCAACAATTTTGTCTTCAGTTCTTAGAACAAAATAATTATGAACCAAACTGCTTAAGATTCTGTTTTCTCCCAGGCCCCTGAATTTGTACCACCCTCTGCTTTAGTTAACATATAGCTCCTATTTATGACCCCCACTAAGAACAGGCCACTTTGGGAGTAAGTAAAACTTTTTCTCATCAGGATCTGATTTGCCGCCCTGCATCTGGTCCTCTCACTCTCACCTTCCTTCTCCTCTGGTGTTCTGCCTAAGCCTCGAGATCCTGGAAGATACCGCAGCTGGTGCTTTCCCTCTGTTGTAACACTCCTTTAGAATTAAGTAACTTCTTACCTAAATGTGAATTTGTTTTATTTGACAAAGTCTAGAAACAGCCCCAGAACAGTAACAATTCCATCCTCAGAAAGAGCCTCCTGACTCCACTTCCATTCCCACCCAGCAGCACCCACCTGTGGATCCCAGCTCTCCACGGCTCTAGAGCTCCTCTCCGTATCAAGGGCTCCTTTCATGCTGGGGTGTGCAGACTGGGACATCTGCAGGGGAGGCTCCCCAGCAAGAACTAACTGGGCCTTCAATGATCTCCTTTTGCAGGCTCAAGATTGGCCTTAACTTTGACGGGCGCGGTGGCTCAAGCCTGTAATCCCAGCACTTTGGGAGGCCGAGGCGGGTGGATCACGAGGTCGAGAGATCGAGACCATCCTGGTCAACATGGTGAAACCCTGTCTCTACTAAAAGTGCAAAAAATTAGCTGGGCGTGGTGGCACGTGCCTGTAATCCCAGCTACTCAGGAGGCTGAGGCAGGAGAATTGCCTGAACCCAGGAGGCGGAGGTTGCAGTGAGCCGAGATCCCGCCATTGCACTCCAGCCTGGGTAACAAGGGCGAAACTCCGTCTCAAAAAAAAAAAAAAAAGATTGGCCTTAACTTAAGAGTCACTGGGCTCAGACTTCCATTTTCCAGTCAGGGTTATTCACTTAGTTTTCTATTTTTTTATTTTTTATTTTTATTTTTATTTTTTTTTTTTGAGACGGAGTTTCGCTCTTGTTACCCAGGCTGGAGAGCAATGGCACGATCTCGGCTCACCGCAACCTCCGCCTCCTGGGTTCAGGCAATTCTCCTGCCTCAGCCTCCTGAGTAGCTGGGATTACAGGCATGTGCCACCATGCCCAGCTAATTTTTTGTATTTTTAGTAGAGACGGGGTTTCACCATGTTGACCAGGATGGTCTCGATCTCTTGACCTCGTGATCCACCCACCTCGGCCTCCCAAAGTGCTAGGATTACAAGCTTGAGCCACCGCGCCCGGCCATTCACTTAGTTTTAATGAGAAAATGCCCAGTGTTTGAAGAATCCAGCAAAACCACTCAAACACAGTGTTTAAGAGAATAAAATTATAAGGCACTTATATTTTATACCTCAATAGAGCAAAAGTGTCTATCAGTTTCAGACAATAAACATGTCAAATTATTTCCATAATTCAAATCACCTAGTATAACACACCTATGAACATATGTAGGAGATGCCAAGTCCCATCCTCTAAAATTCTTTTTTTTTTTTTTTTTTTTTGCGACAAGAGTTTCGCTCGTTACCCAGGCTGGAGTGCAATGGCGCAATCTCGGCTCACCGAAACCTCCGCCTCCTGGGTTCAGGCAATTCTCCTGCCTCAGCCTCCTGAGTAGCTGGGATTACAGGCACGCACCACCATGCCCAGCTAATTTTTTTATTTTTAGTAGAGACGGGGTTTCACTATGTTGACCAGGATGGTCTCGATCTCTTGACCTCGTGATCCACCCTCCTCGGCCTCCCAAAGTGCTGGGATTACAGGCTTGAGCCACCGTGCCCAGCTAAAATTCAATATTAAACTCACACATCTAACTAACAGAGACATCAACTCCACAAATTCTCCACCCTTTAAAAAAGAGGAACTAATATTCTGATGAATCAGTGTAATTCGCCAATTAATCTACTACATTTATTTTGTGGAAATATATTCATTTCCTACAGCCATACTGGAAGAGAGATTTTCCCTATCACTTTCCCTGGTAGCATTCCCACAGCTAAGCCCTGGGATTCTGTTTACAATCATCCTCCAAAAAAAGAACAGGCCTGACAAGCTTATACACTCACTCTAGTGAAGAAAAAAGGTAAATCAGTGAATATTTGACTATATACTGAATGTCTTTTCTGAAATCCACCTCTTAAACATTTTCTTACGTCTGAAGCTCTACTGTTAAAATGCAATAGACAGTTAATTAAAAAAACTAAGGTTGAATTAAGTGAAAAAAGTTTTCAAGGTGTAAAAGCCATGAAGTGGCAGTGCTGACTGGAACACAGACAAATCTGACTCAAGTGCGACGTCAGGCCATCCTGTCACTTGGGACGTTCTCCTGTTTCCCCATTGTCCACCGAACTGCGCAATGCCCACCCTCCCTGCTCGCCCAGGAGCCACCACATTGTGTCCCACTGTGTGCCCTAAGTGGTCTGGCTTTGCAGATTCTTGCACCATCTCAGTGGAGTGGGTTTTCCTTGTCCTTTGCAACAGTTTTTTCACCTTCACAAGTCTGAGAGGATCCAGACATCAGAAATCATTTCTGTCTTTTCCTCTCAATATCGGCATCCTACTGGCTGACCGGCAATGTGTCTCCAAGGAGCAGAGAAGCTCGAGTTGGGTGAAGACAATCTTAACTTCTCGGGTTAGCTTTGTAAACTAAGGGTAGATTTCTCTCAGCCCCAGAGAATCCAGCTGCTCCCTTAAGAGGCTCCACCTCCATCACTGAGGCTGTCCTCTGGGAGGAAAGGAACAAGGGGTTAATATCCACTACACATTCCCTGAGGCAGGACTGCTGGGGGCATTCTGGGTCACCCCAGACAACAATGAAACCCAGGCACAAGGTAAGACCGAAGGGTGTCTGGGACACATGACCTTGTCACATTTCCAAAGCGGAACCTCAAACCAAAGACATTCTGATAAGGTGTCTGTGCCTGGAGAAGATAAAAGAACAGGCACAAAGGTTTTGTGTGTGTGTCAGGAGCAGAGTGTCAGGAGATTCTTCTCTGTTCACATAAAACGTCTCCAAACAGAAAACAGATGTCTAAAAAAAGTGCCATCCAATGCTCTGTGAAAAAGTGACTTTAAAAACGCTGTGTGTGAAATGCACAACCAAGGACAAACAGGCTGCGAGGACGGGATGGCGGACGTGAGGCCCTGCCCGCCTGCCCGCCGCACATCTGGATGCGCAATGGAACCCAGCCCCTCTGCAGAGTTTGAAGCCATTAACCAGCAGTCGCTACTTAGGCTGAAGCAGCACTAGCGCCCCGGGTTCCTGGGGAAAGAGAGAAAACTCAAATACACGCCTTGTAAATGACCACCTTAGGGGAAAACCATGTTCAGGCTGGACCAACCACACACCTGCAACGAGCCTCTCCTTACAGAAGCAGCGAGTCTGCACCCGGGCAGCCCCAGCGAGGCGCCCACCCACCTGCACCCGGTTCCGGGCGCGGTTCGCGTCCCCACGCAGCTCACGAAGCCGTGGCTCTGGACACCGCACACCCCGGCTGCGCGCTCTGCACCGGTGCACAGGCCCTCGCTCAAACGAACTCTCACACTGAAGCCGCGGCTCCCCTGTTCCCGTCCACCAGGGAAAAGCAGGGCCTGGACCCGCAGCGCCCGCACCAAGCGGCTCCTCAGTCGCCAGCGCGCAGCCGCCGGCGAGGGCCCCGGCCGGGCGGAAGCCGCGCGCTCAAGCGGACCGGACGCCGGGCGCGGCCGGCGGCCGAGGCCGCATCCCGTCCCGCGGCCAGGGGAAGCCGAGCGCCGCGCGGGTCCGCAGACTCCGGAGGGAGACGCGGGGAGGCCTGGGGCCGGCGGCCAGTGGCGGCCGTTTGCACCCGCCCCGCCCCCACCTCGGGCCCCTGTGCGTGTACCCACCATTTCCCCGCCTCCCGGCTGTGCAGGCCTCTAGGCTGTGGGTCTCCTGATGCCCGCAGGACACAGGGCAAGCGCTACGGCGGCCCCCTGGGCGTCCCCGAGCAGAGCACGCGGAGCGCGGACGGCGACGGCGCGGGGACTGGGCGAGACGAAGGCCCCGCCACCTCCCGGAAGCCGCGCCCTTCTGTCTGGCTGCGCGCCTGATTGGACCCTTCCCCGCGCGCGGATTGGACGTCGGCGTCGCTGATTGGCTAGGGCTCCAGTCCCCGCCCCCTCAGGCCCTGAGTGACGGAGGGTGTGACGCGACACTGGGCTGACGAGCAAGCAGCAGGTTCTCGGCTGCAGCCTTTTCCTGCCCGGCTTCCTCGATGCCCTGGGCCGCGCGCAGCCCAGGGGAGTGTTTCCCTTTAACGTCTGTATAAGGTTATATTCATTTATAAGTTATATATATATATGTTATTCTATTCGCAAATGAAAACAATATAGTGGCAAGGACCTTAACATTTCGGATCTTAGGAACTTTCCGGCCTCTGGTACTTTGATCAGGCAGCGTGAAATTCCATAGAGGAGACAATCCTTTAAGAAATAAAGTGCGCCGGGCGCGGCGGCTCACGCCGGTCATCCCAGCACTTCGGGAGGCCGAGGCGGGTGGATCACCAGGTCGAGAGATCGAGACCGTCCTGGTCAACATGGTGAAACCCCGTCTCCACTAAAAATACAAAAAAACGAGCTGGGCGTGGTGGCGCGTGCCTGTAATCCCAGCACTTTGGGAGGCCGAGGCAGGTGGATCACAAGGTCAAGAGATCGAGACCATCCTGTCAACATGGTGAAACCCCATCTCTACTAAAAATTAGCCGGGCATGGTGGCGTGTGCCTGTAATCCCAGCTACTCAGGAGGCTGAGGCAGGAGAATTGCCTGAGCCCAGGAGGCGGAGGTTGCGGTGAGCCGAGATCGCGCCATTGCACTCCAGCCTGGGTAACAAGAGCGAAACTCCGTCTCAAAAAAAAAAAAAAAAAAAAAAAAAAAAAAAAAATTAAAAGTAACAGGTGAAATTGATTGTCATTTAACCCAATATATTCAAAACATTCTTATTTAAATATATAATCAATATATGAATGAACTATATAATTTCCGGTAGTACAGTCTGTGAAACCCACTCTGTATTTCGTCAGACCTTTCCAGCACATCTGTGTGCAGCCAAATTCCAGGCCCTTCAGTACCCGCACATGGCCAGTGGTTGGCACACTGAGCGCAGCTCCGAGGGAGGTGAAGGGCCTGAACCTTCATTTCCTTCCAGAAGCGAAAGATCAGTGCCTCCTTATCAACATCTCTCCCCAGGCCAAAGGCTGAAGGGACAGGGCCCTAGAGAGAGCAAGGGCTGCAAAAAGAGTGTCCACAGGTAGACCACTGCTGCCCCCTCTGCTGTCCATCTTCCTTCCAAAGATCAGACAGTGAAAAAAGAACAGTGGAGCCCCAGCAGGACCTAATACCAAGTCTTTAGGTCTTTCCACAGCTGTGACTTCCAAAGTTTAGATATAGAGAAAATAGATTAAACAAACTTCTTATATTGGTATTTGGCCTTGGCCCTAATAAACAGGCTATTGGTTGTATTTTTCCTCCTATGGTGTGGGAGACTGGGTGAGTTTACCAATCAAATGTACACATAGACATGTGGACATATGTATCTCTACATAACTCATCACCGTCTAACAAGATCCAAATTTAAATAAAGGGAAAACAAAATCAATATCTATAGGGTGCCTACTGTTTGCATCTAAGTGGTAATCAGTCTCTCATTGAATTTTGACATCCTGTCTGTATTGGGTGTATGTATTAGTTAGCGATGCATAACAAACCACCTAAAATTTACTAGCTCATGATTCAGCTGGTCAGCAATTTCAGCTAAGCTCAGCTGGGCAATGCTTTTGCTCTCAGCTGGGATCCTTCAGACGTGTGGTCAGATGCTGATTGTAACTGTTTCTAGGGGTGAGTTGCCTGTGAACTGGGGCACCTTCGTTCTTCTCCATGTGGTATCTCATCCCCCAGCAGGTTAATGTGAGCTTATTATCATAGAGATAACAGGATTCTGAAAGAAAAACAAAAGCACTCAAGACTTTTTGAGCCTAGGTCCCAAACGAGCACACTGTTATATGTTCAACTTTCTGTTGACCAAAGCAAATAAGACCAGCCAGATCTAAAAGTTTTGAAGTACAGATTTTGCCTCTTGAAGGGAGCAGCTATAAAAGCACATTGCAAAGGGCAAGTATGCAGGGAGGAATGAAGAATTTTTGCAATCAGTATCATTATGCCTTTTCTTGCAGATGAGGTTTATGTAACTGTTCTAAGGCAAGAAACTTCCAAAACCCCATAGCTACTAAGCAGCTGTGTTGGAATACAGACTCAACTCTGACTAACTCCAAAGCCTATGTATCTCCATAGACCCACCACACTACTCATGCAACTTCCCTGGTTCTTCAAGGTTCTAGAGAGTTACACTTCTGCAGTAGAAGCAGATCCTTTTGATATTTGTGCCCATATAGTACTGTTTATCATTGGCATAACCCCTCAAGAAACTGCAGAAGCATCTTGGGAGGATATGGAATATTTAGGAAAATAGCTGGGGAATGAATTTAGGAAATCAAAGCCAAACAACGTATTTATTTTTCATCATAGGAGACTTTGAAAACATATAATGTATTCCATATATCTGCAAATTCTTTTCATTTTTGGGTTTTTTAAGGCTGCTTATGATTTTTAACACAGACTAAAACTACTGTGCCTGAAATAACCTCTTATTCTGGAAGCAAGTGACATAAAGATAGGTCTGCTGATAAAGACATTTTCTCCTGCTGCAACTTAGCAAAATATCTGAGGACGTCTTAAAGTCATCCTTAGAGTTTTAACAGGACCAATTCATAGGCAATAGCTCAGAAGTATATATGGTCCCTCAGGGCTTGTGACTGCATCTGGGTTGTTAAGACCTCTTTTTTATTTTTACTAACAGTTCTTTATCAACGATGTCTTTTGCAATTGTTAGTCTCATTCATCGGCTTGTCTTTTTCTTGTCTTAACAGTATCTTTTGCAAAACAAGACTAAAGTCCAATTCATCAATTTTGTCATTTATGAGTCATGCTTTTAGTGTTGCATCTGAAACCTTATTGTCAAACCCAAGGTATCCTAGAGTTTCTATTGTCTTATCTTCTAGAAGTTCCAAATTTTGCATTTCACATTTAGGGTCTTTCTCTCTCTCTCTCTCTCTTTTGACACTATTACCCACTGAACATTTAGGTTTTTTATTCATTTTGAACTAACCTTGTGAGAAAGGCAAGGTCTTTGTCTCATTTATTTCCCTGCATATAGATGTCTAGGTGTCAAGCAGTATTTGTTGAAAAAACTACTTTTTAAAATTAAATTTCCTTTACTTCTTTGTCAAAGATCAGTTGACTGCATTTTATGGGTTTATTTCTGAATTTTCTATTCTGTTCTATTGATCTATTTGTCTATTCTTCTCCAAATACCATACCGTCTTGATTACTGCAACTTTATAATAAATCTTAAAATCATGTAATATGAACACTAGAAATTTACTCTTCATTGTTCTGTTAACCATTCTGGATTATTTGTCTTTCCATATAACTTTTAGGGTCAATTTTTCATTATTGACTACATAACTTTTAAAGAGTTTTAATGGGATTGTTTTGAATCTATAATTCAAATTAGGGCAAACCAACATCTTTTTTTTTTTTTTTTTTTTTTTTGAGATGGAGTCTTGCTCTGTTGCCAGGCTGGTATGCAGTGGCCCCATCTCCACTCACTGCAACCTCAGCCATGTGGGTTCAAGCAATTACCCTGCCTCAGCCTCCCAAGTAGCTGGGATTACAGGTTCCCACCACCACACCTAGCTAATTTTTGTATTTTTAGTAGAGATGGGGTTTCACCATGTTGGCCAGGCTGGTCTTGAACTTCTGATGTCAGGTGATCCACCCACCTTGGCCTTCCAAAGTGCAAGGATTACAGCTGTGAGTCACTGAGCCTGACCACATTCTTTTCTTTCTGACTGAAGGAATCCCTTCAGCATTTCTTGGAGGACAGCCTTGGTGTTGATTACATCTCTCAGCTTTTGTTTGGGAAAGTCTATATTTCTCACTCCCAAACATTCTTCAAATATTTGAAGAATATTTTTGCCAGATATACTACTTCAGGATAAAGGGTTTTTTGGGGATTTCTGGTTGTTTCTTCAGCACTTTAAATATGTTATGCCATTCTCTTCTGGCTTGTACGGTTTCCACTGAAGAGTCTGCTGCCAGACACATTAAAGCTGCATTGTGAGTTGTTTCCTTCGTCTTGCTTCTTTGAGGATCCTTTAGCTTTGTTGTTGATCTCTGGGAGTTTGATTATTAAATACCTTGCAGTTGTCTTCTTTGTGTTAAGTCTGTCTGATGTTCTAATATATAACCTTCTTTAGTGGATATGGGTATGTTTCTCTAGGTTTGGAGAGTTCTGTGTTGTTTCTCTGAATAAACTTTCTTTCTCTACCTCCTCTTTATTGCCAACAATTCCCAGATTGGCCCTTTTGAGGCTATTTTCTATATCTTGTAGGTGTGCCTCATTCTTTTTTATTCTTTTTCTCTTTAGTCTCCTCTGTCTGCATATTTTCAAATAGTCTGTCTTTATGCTAATTCTTCTGCTTGATCAATTTTGCTATTAACAAACTCTAATGCAAGTTTTAGTATGCCAGTTGCATTTTTCACCTCCAGGATTTCGGCTTGATTTTTTAAAATTATTCCAGCCTCTTTATTACATTTATCTGATAGAATTCTAAATTCCTTCTCTGTGTTATCTTCAATTTCTTTGAGTTCCTTCAACACAGCTATTTTGAATTCTCTGTCTGAAAGGTCACATATCTCTGTTTCTTCAGGATTGATCTCTGTTGCCTTATTTAGTTCATTTGGTGAGGTCATGTTTTCCTGGATGATCTTCATACTTGCAAATGTCTGTCTGCCTAGGTATTAAATCATTAGGTATTTATTATAGTCTTCATAGTCTGGGCTTGTTACCATTCTTCTTGAGAAGGCTTTTCAGATATTCGAAAGGACTTGAGCGTTGTGAGCTAAGCTGTATCTGCTTTAGGGGCACCCTAAGTCCACTAATACTGTGGTCCTT